TTATCTCAACCTGATCAGAGTTATATACCATATCCCCTGGTTTGAAAAGCCTAAGTAAGAAACTTACTTGTGTCTTCTCCTTCATTCCCTGCTTCCTATAAGGGTCCAACACTGGTGATGATCCTTCATCTAGTTAAGCAGAATATTTATGTCTTCTCTTTCTTTTTCTGTGCTGTCCCTTAACTCTTCCAGCTTATTCAGTTATCTGGCAGTATAGATGAAGTGAGTAAGATAATTACAACAGCAAAACCATAATAACCATGCACTTGGATGGTTATGACAAAACCTAGACTCTGGTCCTTTCTGTGACATTCACATGTAGTGTAACAATGGGTAGATCACTTCCATTCTTTGGGTCTTGTAAGCATTCATCAATATACACACATACATTTCAAAGGACAGGCAGATATATCCATGTATATGCACTTATGTATACCTGAGTGACTATTTCATGTATGGTGATGGAAACCTTTGCATCAGGTAGTCTTAAGCTACCAAATGTGAAAGGACATCTTCCTCACTGAGCAAAACCTACCTTCATGGGTTGTAATCTCTTGAGTATTCTTTCTCTAATCTCCTTCATCTTGACACTATAGAGTATAGGGTTTAATAATGGAGGAAGCAGAAAGTGGACATAGGAGAGAAGAGTATGGGCAGGCTGAGGTACTGGCAATCTAAGACGGTCAATGAGTGCCAGGAGGATCATAGGCACATAGAAGAGGAGCACAGCAGAGAGGTGGGCCACACAGGTTTGACTAGCCTTCCAGCGCTCCTCACTGGATCCCAAACCTTGCAACACTTTACCAATTAGGCCATAGGAGAAGAAAATAAGCAAGGGATCCAATCCCATGACTGAGAGGACCACAAAGAGGCTGTAGACTGCTCCCCAAGCTCCTGGGCAAGCCAGATGGGTCATATCTGGGTGCAAGCAATAAGAATGGGTTAGGACCTGTGGGCGGCAGTAGGACATGTGGGCCAGGAGGAATGGTAGGGGCAGATGGAGACCTAGGCATCGGAAAGCAATAGCGAGACCAATCTTCATAATGAAACCATTGGTGAGGAGTGTGGGATAGTGGAGAGGACGGCAGATTGCCAGTGCTCTATCTAAGGCCATTGTGAGCAAGACAGAGGACTCCATGACAGAAAAGACATGGACAAAGAACATTTGGAGGAGGCAGGCTGAGGCAGAGACCACATGAACATCAGCAAGAGCAAGACCCAAGAGGGTGGGCATCAGGGCTGTGGCCAAGCCAACATCAGACACACTGAGTAGGAAGAGGAAGAAGTACATTGGGCGGTGCAAGGTGGGCTCCATGGCAATGATCCAGAGGATGGTACCATTGCCCAAGGCAGATAGAAGGTAGAGCATGATGAGGGGGATTGTCCACCAGGAGGGTATAGCTGACAGACCTGGCATGCCCACCAGCAAGAAGGTGGGGGCCATTGAAGGGCTGCTATTGGAAGCTGTCTGGGTGGAGAATGTTGACATAGTTGAGGATCCAGCTTGGAACTCAGGAATCTGAAAATAGATTAGAAAGATTAGCTTAATCTTATGACACATTTGCATGGTGCTTTGTAAAATCTCCTGTCTCTTCTCTCCTCTCCACCCTATACACACACACACACACACACACACACTTCCTTCACACCCACACGTGAACTCTTATAGTCTGTGCCATACCTATGCCTTCCAAAATGAATAAATTAATTGCCATCAAATGGATTCCAACTCACAGCAAACCTAAAGGAAGAATAGAACTGCCCTATAGGGTTTCCAAGGCTTTGCAGAAGCCAACTCTCACATCTTTCTCTCACAGAGTGGCTGGTGTGTTTGAACTGCCAAGCTGTAGGTTAGTAGCAAGCACTTAACCATGGCACAACTAGGGCTTCTTCTACTTATCCCTTACCTTGGCACATTTCTATGACTGCCTCCAATTCTCTCTTTATAGTTTTTATTTATTTATTTATTTTTAAGTAATTCAGCTTTCTTTCTTAATGGCAAACACCTGAGGAGAAGGTCTCTACTCCTTTGTCCATGGGAGCTCTGGTGGTGTAGTGCCTAAGGCATTTGACTGCTAACCAGAAGGCTGGAGGTTCAAACCCAACAGCCACTCCTCGGAAGGAAGATTGGGCAATCTACTTCCATAGTGATACTGCCTCAGAAACCCAAGGAGGGGTCGGTATGAGTCGGAGATGACTCAATGGCACATAACAACAACAACCAGCTATGTCCATGGTATCTTCTCCTAATTCCAAGCACTCTGACTTCTGTGATGCCCTAACACATTCACACTTCAGTGCCCTTGAATTGCTTTCATGCAATTAAACCAGTCCCTGGCTGATGCAAATGATTAACACTGACTGGAATCATGAGGTCAAGGTGTCCACCGAGAGGCACCTTGGAAGAAAGGTCTGACAATCTACTTCTGACAAATCAGTCATTGAAAACCCTATGGAGCACAGTTCTACTCTGACAGACTAGGGATCACCAGGAGCCAGAGTAGACTCAAGACAACTGGTTTTGTTTGTTTTTTTAACTACTCTCATTAAGCTCACCCATTATCCCTTTATTGCTAACTCAAAGTGAGTTTTTCTAAGATTGATTCATTTCACAGCAAGTTCAAGCTGATATTAATTCCCACTCTCTTTTTCTTTTTAATTCTGTTTATCAGAATCTACCTCCTTAGTTCACCTTGCATACAATTTATACTTTGACATTTTTCAGAGATCTTTATTTAGCCCTTTTCTTTTCCTTCAGTGGTCTTATAATGTCATGATTTCAACTAAACTCTTATACATATGAATTTCAAATATGTCTTACAGACCCTCTATATTCACCTCACCCTGGAAGTCTCCAGATGTCACATGCATCTTTCATTTAAATAACCCAAAAGAAAACTTAACAGTTGCATCTTAAAACTCTCACCTTCTTTAGTTTGGAGACAGTGGTGGAGAAATTAAGAACAACAACAAAACAAAACAAAACAAAACATAAAAAACCTCACTGCCATTGAGCCAATTCTGACTCATGGCAACTTCTATTGGGTTTTCAAGGCTGTAAATCTTTATGGAAGCAGACTGTCTCATCTATTTTCTGTGGAGCAGTTGGTGGATTCAAACTACAGACCTTCTGGTTAGCAACCAAATGCTTTAACCACTATACCATCAGAGCTCCTTAAGAACAACAAAACATACCTTAATTATTTAATTAAGTTGTTAGCATTTACACTAATCAATTTTACAAAATAAAGGGCTTATTGTGTACTTTCCTCCCTTGATCAAATGCCTAAAGAAGTTGGAACTTTAATTCTAGGCAAAATTAACATGAATATTGTTGTTGTTGTTGTTATGTGTCATCGAGTAGGGCCTGACTTATAGCGATTCCTCCTTGGGTTTCCGAGGCAGTATCACTATGGAAGTAGATTGCCTCATCTTCCTTCCGAGGAGTGGCTGTTGGGTTTGAACTGCCAGCCTTCTGGTTAGCAGTCAAGTGCCTTAACCACTATGCTACCAGAGCTCCCAACATGAATATTAGGATGGGATAAAAAGTGAAATAAAGATTTGGTAGGCTGTTTGTATCTTCAGGGCAAGAATATAGACACACATCAACTATACATACATACATATACATATATATATATATATATAGACACACACACACATATACATATATATATATATATATATAATGTTTGGTTTGGTTTATACCCAGTAGGGAGGTCACTTTAAGTAATAAAAAAATGTAATAACTTCCAAACTTCTAAACACAGAGCTTAATAAATCTAACAGAATACATTCAAAAGGAATAAACAGAAACTGGTATTCATTTGGGGCATGACTGACTGAGGAGACTGACAAATCCTTTCCCCTAAAAACACCTAAAAAGCTAATCAAAACTATCAGCAACATCCACTTAAGCACTCTGAAAATTCATCAATTGCCCAGAAAATTTCAGGCTGAGTTACTAGACACCTTTGCAATTCAGGCTGCAAATTGCCTTTCAGGAATTATCCCCACATTCTAATCATGCAGCATCCCCTTAACTTTCAGAAGCCAGCCAAACATCTTGTTCAGCTCCTTTGTGCATCTACCTACAGGTCTTGACTTGCTCGAGATGTGCTTATTTGTAAAATGCTCAAATCTGGCATCTTCTGGTCTGGCTGAGAGAACAATAGCTGTGGGGCCAAGGGTTCTGCGGTCCTCTGCCCCAGGTGAGAATATCCAGACACCAAAGGAAAGCATGAAGCAAAGACATGAAGTTAGGTTCCTTTTAGTGTTCAGGAAAGAGCAGTGGGTAGCTCAGTGGTAGAATGCAGGAGACTGGGTTAAATTCCCAGCCAATGCACCTTAAGTGAAGCCACCACTCAACTGGGTGATGCTGTGATGCTGAACAGGATTCAGTGGAACATCCAGATTAAGACAGAGTGAGTAGATACATGCACTTGTACTAACACACATGCACAAACATACTAATCCAGATTGATTCATCCAGAAACAACTACACACTCACACTCACACATGTAAAAAAGAAGGGGATTATATTCATGAACAGAAATATTTTCAAGGTAGATGGCTGTAAAATTAAAAGACATTAAAATATGTACAAACATGTGCATTCACATTCAGATCCAAAGATGCAGATATGTACAAGCCCTCATTCCCTAAAGCATAAGCACTTCTGCATATGAACTGATACATATGCATTTGCTCGTAAGAAAAGACATTTGGAAACTAAAGCACCTTTTTTTGTGCATATATGTTATTACACACATACATGCATCTCCACAATGGCAAGACTCCTATAACCAAACTTCTGTTACTTCCCAAAATCACATATATATCAATATAATAACTCATAATACACATATAATGAGTAAACCTGATCCTTTCACACACACACACACACACACATGCATATTCATCAGATGTTAACCAACATCACATGTTGAACACATTGTCAGTTCTGACTCATCAGTATACACATTAGATGTGCAGGGAACCATAAGCATTTTTTTTTTTTAAATTTTTCAATTGTTGTAAAAATAGATATCACGACATTTTCCAACTCAATATCTTTCACATGCATAATTTAGTGACATCAACGATATCAATAATTTTATGAAACTATCACCAATATCCACTGCCAAATTTTCCATCACCACAAACAGAAACTCAATGATAAACATATCTCTTATAATCACATCTTACCTGTATCAAAGAGAAAGTGAAACTTTCCTGCAAATAGTTATTTTCTTAATAGTCATTCATTCACAAATGTTTATCACACCATGTGATAATTTCACACTAAGTCATACATCCTCTCATAGACACACTCAAGCACACCCATGCATCCACAGAGTGTTTTATATTCATAGGGCCTTTTTCAGACATATGTTCACTCATCCTTCCCATACACACTCCATTGCTTCCCTACCCTCACTCTCTTAGATGGCATAAGGTGAAAGGGAATGGCAACTGTCCCAAGCATATACTCTTGTGTCTTTAGTTTGAAACAAGAAATACCTGCTAGAGGAGAATGGCCTCTAGGATTATATTTCTTAGCTTATATGAGTTATTTTTTTTTTCTTCATTTATCTCCTAAACATGCATCTTCCCCCAAACCTCTATTTTGTTGATGTACAAGCACATATACATCCACATTAATAGGCAAAAAAATATATGCACATGTTCTTGTAATCACTGACCCCTGACTTTTCATAAACATGCAAACATGCTTACATTGTATGTATTTAATCTGTACTATTTTGTTCCCAGAGTATGTAAGATATGCTTATGCAAATTTGTTTTGCTACACTTTTGTCAAGCTCCTATATATAGTATAGTTTATGTATATACAATATGTGATAATATGTAAAAATAGCTATATGCATCTATAAAAACGTAACAGAAATTATTATACAAACTCTAAAATAAATAAATATAGACATACAACACATGTACACATAAACAAAGAAGACGTAACACTCTGGCATACACAATCACCCTATCTACTTGGATATAAAAATAAAAAATTATAAACAAGTAAATTTAGACCCATTTCAGATATGTGCTAAGATACAACACTGTAATTGCAGAAAACAGCATAGGATGGGTGACCACTTTGCAGTTAATTATTGCAGAAAGGATTTAAACACTAATTTTGTCCTTGAAGTTAATGAGTCCCTTTTGATCCAAAGACCCTCTACTTTTTGGAATGCATGCAGAGGGATTGTGACATCAGCATTATGTACTTATTTTAAAAGCAATGTTCATTCAGAAGACAGAACAATGGAGTAATGATTCTATCCCACAATATTTGTATCCTGATGAACAGTTCTCAGGATGTTGTTATATCAATTATTTCACTTGTTCCTGAAAAACATTTTACATGCAGCAGTGAAATATTATCCACATTTTATAGAGGAAGATAACTGAAAAGGAGAGTGGTCAAATGGCTCTCCAATATTTGACACAGAAATATTGTGCTAA